TGGGGAGCCCCCCGGGACAATGTGGAAGGTGCTCTAGAATGGGGAAGCAGCAAGAGCAAGGGGTCTGAGGAGGAAGCAGCTCTAAAGTTTGAGGAAGAGAAAGAAGGCCACCGCGGTGGCAAACAGGTGTGGCCCCAGTGTGGTAAGTGGGAGGGGTGGCGGGAGGGGGTCCAGAGCCAACCACACAGGGCCTCGCAGCAGAGGTGAGATGTCTGGGCTTTATTTAATGTGAAACAGGAAGCTGCTGAAGTGTAAGCACAGGAGTAACATGGTCTAGATACTTGTTCAGCTAAGGAGTGGGGACCCGCCACACATTATCTGTTGAGATGCTTAATGGCTGTGACAGTGAGAGCAGAAACCGGGGGTCGTGCCACTGAGCAGAACGACCTGGAGTGCTACCAGACAGGTGGGCTCAGATGCAGGGAGGGGAAAGAGGCTCAGCACCCTCACTGGGGACAGAGAGAAGCTGGGCTGGGTAAGCTTCAGACGAGGGTGGTAGCAGACAGCTCTGAGAAGAAGCCCGAGGAAAAGCTAGAAACACGGTAGGCCTGAGCTGCCAGCTGGGCTGTGGGACATGATCCCCAAACCAGTGGAGGTCCCTGAGAATGAAGAGACCTGAAGGAAGGCGGGAGGAGGCAGGCCCAGGAGTCTCACAGGTACGTCAGAAAGGGCTACACCAGATATCAAGAGCGCATAAAACAGCAGCGCCCTAACTGAGCAGGACCGGAGAGGGGCAGAGATGCTGCCAGCTCAAAGGCAGGAGGCCGCGGGTGGATGTGAAATGGGGCGCTCAGCGTGCCGATCCGGTCAGCAGGTTTGGAGTAACAGCAGAGGTGTCACGGCCCTCTGAGAACAGAGAGAGGTGGGGTAGGGAGCTGACATCTAGAAACTCTTAGAAAAATAAGTGCCTGAAGTGTGAGTGAACTTCCTAAAGCATTATGAGAAAGAGAAGGTAGGGAAATTCCACTGGTTACCAGACACCCTTCCCAACTACTTAGATGTGCTCCCAACAGAGGAGCTGCTTGGTTCCCCTGCAACACTGCGCACAAGTCCCCTCAGGGTCAACGGTGCCCCAGGCACAAGAGGAGTCTGCACACCCAGGCGGCAGGTGCTCTGAAGCTCTTCCCCAAAAGGCCCAGGGCACATCCTCAGTGCGCAACAGAACACGGCATGAAGGCCGCAGGGAAAACGGGGAGCAGCGACCACCAGCGTGTGGAGACCAGCCAGGCACAGCAGCAGTCACCCTGCGAGGGGCCTGCCCCTGCCACAGGAAGAAGCTCCTCACAGCCGGTCACCTGAGTTCATCATACTCAGCATCTTTCTTAGGACTGGAGAGCTCAAGACTGGTCAGTGCAAACATCTGGAGCAAGGGGAAAGTGACCATGCACAGCAAGCAGAGGGCTGACCCTGCGCGTGGGCTGCCCAGGGCTATCCCTGAGACTCCAGACCTGGCTTCCAGTTACAAAGCCCCATCAAGTGCACGAAGAGAACTACCCACTGACGGCCTAGTGGAGGGTGTCATGGGGAGGTGGAGGAGTGATGGGGTCTTTCTCCAAATAGGTAGCCAGCATCGCTGTTTCATTCGTCTCACATAGGAAGGGGTATTCTTGGAGAGAGGGAGACTCTGAAATCCACATTCCCAGAAACCCAGAGACCCAACCCCCTGACCTGACCTCCTGCTCTGCCGCCTGTGGGGCAGGGCTCCCGTTCCCGGGCGGGGTCCGGGGCGCTCAGAGGCCCCTCCCTGAACGCAGCGCTGGGAAGACCCCAGGTACGGCTGCCGCCCGGTCAGGGACGGCTGCGGGGAGCCCCTTTGTGCAGGGAAGTCCCCGGGCAGGGAAGGAGAACCTGGCGGAGCCACCCAGCCTAGCCAGCCGCACAGTCCAACATGGAGGCCGGCGGAGAGGCGGAGCCGGGGCGGCGCGGGCCCCTCACGCTCGGCGGGACGGCGGGGGACGGCGGCGGGGACAGCAGCTCGCCGGGCGCGCGCGGCGCAGCTGAAGGGTGAGCGGGGAGCCCCCCGGGACCCCCCCTCCAGCCCCGGCCCGCCCCCGGCCTGCCCGTCCCGGCGCCCACCAGTCAGTCGGGGACTTCTCGGTGACCACCCGCACGTAGGCTTCCTGCAGCGCCGGCCCGTTCCGGCTCAGGTTCGCAGCCATGACCAGCCCCTCAGTCCCCTCTCCGCCGCCGCCACCGCCGCCGCCACCGCTTCCGGGCCCCGCCCACCCCCGCGGCCGGAAAGGCCCACCCCGCGGCCGGAAAGCCCAGGCCCCGCGGCCGGAAGCGGAAGCGGGGGCGGGAGGGCCGGAGCGCAGGGCGGGTTTTCACCGCCCGCGCCTGGAGAGGCGTGCGAGGTACGCGGAGCGGAGGAGCCCAAGCGAGGTCCCTGGTAGCTGCGTGCATTTCTCTCTTCTCTTGTCGCAGTCAGCGCACTGGTCTGAGAATCTTGGGCTCGTGACAGCCTCTGTGTGGACCTCCGACATGCGCCTGATGTGTGACCGAGGCGTGCACGAGAAAAGGAACGCTACGTGCGGGCCGCAGCAGCCCCGGCCCGACTGGAGGTGCTGCCGAGCCTTCTCGGCCTCACCTGCGTTCCCCCCTCTCGTTCGTGGAGGACGGGGTGGCGCGGGGAGCCCCGCTCCCTGCCCTGCACACACGGCCCCAGCACAGGTGCACGAGTCTGTGGGACTTCAGAAAAGCGGCCCCGTGCTGATCCTGTGCGCTCCGGGGAGCCCTTCTGCAGGAACCCATCCCGCAATCGCTCACATTTCTGCAGCGACGTCAGTGAAAAGTCCCCGAAGCGGGTTATGGAAAAACTACATGGCCTCGTGGCAGTTCGGTCAGGACTTGCTGCCAAATGAGCTACCATAATCTTAAGGTGTTGGGGTCTGATTGTGCAGATAAAGGCTTGTCGACTCCATTTGGGCACAAACATTGCTCACAGGTTATGTCCCCTTGTACTTCTGTACCTCATTGATGTCGGTCTCAGGCAGAAGCCCCGACATCCCCTGATGGCAGAGCAGCTACCTTCTCCCAACCCGGGGAAGTCTTAGGGCCTGAACAAACACTCCTTCCCTTCCGCAGCTTCTGCCTGCGCACAGCCCCCCCACCCCCACCCCGTCCTTCCTGGGTCTTCCCTTATGCAAGGTGCAGGTTTCCCGTTCTCCACTCTGACACTGACTTCGCTGCTGTGTTTGCATCAGAAAAGTGAGTTCCAGCAACTGGAGGCCTCCCAGCTCTCCAATTTCTTATCTTTTTTTTCTTTTTTCTTTTTGATTTAAATTCAATTAGTCAACATAGTACATCATCAGTTTCAGATGTAGCGTTCAATGATTCATCAGTCGCGTATAACACCCAGGGCTCATCACAGCAGGTGCCCTCCTTAATGCCCATCATGTCTTTTTTTTTCTTCAGTAACTTCTCCTCTGTCCTTGTTTCTCCCTCAGACCCCCTCAGGAGACTTTCTTCTTATTCAGGGAGGTTCAGCCCTCAGTCTTACTGTTCTTCAGCCTTCTTGCCACAGGCCATCTTTGTTTTTTCTTCTTTCTCTGGGAATGTTTTCTATTTAAACACCTCCTGGTTACCAGTGTCTTCATTCACCTGGCTGCCAGGCCCCAGCCTCGGGTCCCTGGACCCCTAAGAGGTCTGGGAGCACTTTTCAACATTTCAGTAAACTTGGGGAGAACCCACCTTGCCTGAATCAGGCTATGCCCAAGAGGCAGGTCTCTGTTCTGGGAATAGATCAACTCAGTGTGGTAACCAGGTGGAAAAGCAGGGATACCCGGTCTCCATTGAGAGAAGGCTCTTAAGTAGGGGTCCCTGGTGTGGGAAGGTGGGGGTGGCAGGATTCTGTTTTCTGCTCTAGGGTGTGGGAGTCTATTTCCACTTGACAGGCCAGGAAAGGCCTCTCTGGAGAGGTAACACTGGAGCAGAGACTGGATATGGGGTGGGGAGCACAGCTGTGGAAGATATCTGGGAAGACATGCTCTGGGCAGAGGGAACAAGATGTGTTGGGGCTCTGCAGTGGGAGGCAGCCTAATGATGGGCTGGTGATGGAGCACAGGGAAAGGGGGAGGGAGGGAAGCTGGGTCCTGGAGGACCCTGTAGGTCAGGGAAGGGCTTTGCACTTTGTTCTAGGTGTAACAAAATTTGAGGCAAAAAGCAGAGCAGTGTGCTCTGGTGATATTTTAAAGAGGTCCCTCTGGTTGCTGTCTAGACGCTTCCATGCCTGTCCCTCCAACTGAGGCTTGTCTGTGTTCCTGTTTCCTCAGAGCCATCACCCTTTTTGGTCAGCTGCTCCTCAGTCTGAGAGCATGAGATGTCCCCAGAGGTGACCCTAGGACTCTGCTGTCTTCCCCTTAACTGACTTCCCTCTGTGGTCTTCTTGCACACAGAGCTGCTTGACTCCTGGTGGGTTCAAATGACAGATGTAGGGCGCAAAACCAGACCCAGAGCCAGTGTCTTCCACATTCTGAGGGTGGTTGACCATGTGCTAAAGGTATCCAGACCCAAGTATGGAGGGAAGATCTTGTCAACTGACTCCCTCAGGCTCTACCACGTAGGAAGAACTAACAGCTTTGAGAAAAAGACCACTACTACTCCGTCATAAAAAAGAAGGAAATCCTGCCATTTGCAACCACATGGATAGACCTAGAGGGTGCAGTGAGTCAGACAAAGACAAATACTGTATGATCTTGTTCATATGTGGAATCTAGAAGACAGTACGAATCAACCAACAAAACAAAGCAGTAACAGAGAACTGGTGGTTGCCAGAGAGAAGGGGGTGGAGGAGTGGGCGAAATAGGTGAAGGGGATTACCGGGCACGTATTTCCAGTCATAAATAAGTCACAGGGATGAAAAGTACAGCAGAGGGAATGTAGCCAATACTATTGTATGTAGTCACCTTGCGTGGTGACGGGTGGTCAATACACTTAGCGCGGTGAGCACTGAGTCATGCATTGTCCAATCCCTCTGTTGTGCGCCTAAAAAGAGTATCACACTGTAGGTCACTTCAGTTAAAAAATACACATTATCTCCTTGTAAGACATATAGTAACACTGTGTAGACACACTTTTAAGAGAAACAATGTATTGAATTAAAGAAAAGGAAGGACCTGACAAGCCCAGCCAGACAGTGTTCTGTCCATGTGCGCTTCTGGAACAGACCACCACAGACTGGGGGGCTGATAAACAATGGAAATGTGTTTTTCATTGTTCTGGAGGCTGGAAGTCCAAGATGAAGGGACTGGTAGATTCGGTGTCTGGGGAGAGTCTGCTCTCTAGCTGATAGATGCCTGTCTTTCGCTGTGTCCTCACCTGGAGAAAGGGGTGATGGAGCTTGTGGGGTCTCGCTCATAAGGGCACTAATCCCCTTCTGAGGGTTTCTCCACCCTGTGGGTGGTCTCCCTGGTGGGCTCTCAGAAGACAGCCACTTCATGTTTTCTGTTTGTAATTCCCTTTCCCTCCCTTCCACAATTTGCACACTGTAAGTGTTCACTCAATGCTTGGATAAAGCCTCCTAATATCGTTAGAAAGTGATTAGGATGGCTAGCCAGCAGTAACAACCTTCTCCCATGAGCAGCCCCAGGTGCTGTTGTGATGGGGTGGGGGGGAGGCAGGGGAGTGCAGCAGGGGTAAGAGGCAGGCTCTGAGGGGGCAGCCCTATCATCACCTCCCAAAGCGGAGCCCGGCCCAGCCCCCGCGTCTGGAAGCAGCTCTGTGGCGGCTAGCCGGTGGGCCTCTCTGAAGGGTGTTGAGTGGGGGTCTGGGAGAAGTGTGGAGGGCAGGGAAGGAAGGAGACATTTTTCAGGGAACTCGAGAAGTTGCTCTCTGGTCTGATAGGGTTTTTACAGATTCTCTGTAGCTGTTTGATTTTTGTTACTAATAAAATCTGTCAGCAGAGAGAAACCAGTGTGATGGGCAGGACAGGGCCAGCAGGGCGGCAGGGAGAGCATTAGCTACTTCCTCCCTTTACCAGCAGACTGCACTGACAGGGCACCAGACTGCTGTCGTGGGGAATGGCAGCCACAGCCTCCGCGGCTCGGAGGACCTGCTGGGGGAGGAAGTGTGTGTCACGGTGAGAAGGGCCAGCGAAGAAGCAGAGGCACAGGAAGGGATGGGGGTGAGGGCCCATGGTGACCTTGAGGCTCTTTCTCAGTACCACTTCCCTCTGGGTACCAGGGACAGACCTCAGGCTGAGAGATCTGCAGACAAGTCCCCCAAGCAGCTCCCTGGCCCTTAAAGAGTCTTGCTCTTGAATTGCAGAGACAGAAAACTGCCCGTCCTTGCACATTTGCAGTTAGGTGGTGTGGAATCCCACAGCAGGGACATAACGCTCAGCAGTGAGCTGCTCGGACTGCTGGACATCTGCGTCCCAGCATTTTAATCCCTTATCAGAAGATTTTGACCCTGTGCCATATTCTTGGAACTCCTCGGTCTTCCCAGAGCCTGACAAAGGACCAAGATCTCAGCACCATCCAGCAAACCCAGCTGCCTCTGGCCAGAGTTAATAGTCATCTGTCCATGGTGGATCCGTTGCTTAAGATCATGCATCTTCCCGAGCTCTCTGGTTCACAGAGAAGAGTAACACATCACCCCTCGCAGTTAGGTTTTCGGATCTGCTCTCCCCTTGCTGACCTGGGACTTGCCTTGGAAACATGGCATCTGAACATGAGTGATACAGGAGTGGATGGCACCACGGTGTTCTTGGGGCTGACCTGAGCCCTGGAAGGCACAGCCAGCAGGTGAGTTCCTGGGGGAAAAGGCCAGGGAACGTGCAGAGACAGGCCTGCGGAACAGCACGACGGGGACTGGTCTGAGGGGTCTGGCAGGTACAGAGCGGAACTCAGGCTTGCACAGGGTGAGTGATAACGCACAGTGTGGGCCCTAAGGGCTGGCTTCACTCTCTGCTCCCATCTCTCCAGCACAGAGCGCAGGCTTGCGGAAATTTTCCCTGGACCCAGAAAGGGGGTCATAAGCTGTAATGTTTAAAAGGCTCGGTGTGGCATCCACAGTCTCAACACCAACTTGGGCCTAGATTTTCCCTTTCTGAGCCTCTGATTTGTCTCTGAAATATGAATCTGCCCCACCTTCCTGGGCTTTGTGATGCTTGGCTACAAGGTCCAAGGTGGCCACCATCTGGAGGGGCAGAGCTGCATGCTAATAAACTTCCCAGGGGATCTGGTGATGATGGCATT